GTCAGTGATTCATTTAAATACTGTCCTCCTGAAATGTTGTACTCTAAAATGTAAACTGCTACAAATACACATGTTATAAGGGCCCCTGTAAAAAATATCTGCTAATTAAATTATTTTAGTATTTCAGTAGTCTGTCGATTATTCTATGAGATCCTTGAATCATCAGATATTTTTTAAATGCTCTTATTCATGAGCAACAGTAAATGTTCAACAGAAGGCAAAAGAGAAGTCTTTTAAAATGAACTGCTCGTCGTTTATTATTTTAGAGACTGCAGTATTTGTAATTGTTTAACTGCATACATTAGTCTAAGAGAAATAAGCGGTTTTAGTGAATTTATTAAATAGATGTAATGTCGAAAACATAACTTTAAAAAGAGCTGTCAAAGGAGCTTGCAAAGAAAAGCGTCTGGACTTCTTTAAGTTACTTGAAGACGTTTCACCTCTCATCCGAGAAGCTTCTGTTGTGCATGTTCGGAACCACGTATCTTTGCGAGCAAGTTTTCTCTGTAATGAGCATAAATAAAACAAAACTGCACTCAAGGCTCACGCACAGGCACTTGAATCACATCCTGAAGTTAGCTGCTGCTCAGGATGTGAAGCCTGATATTGATGAGCTGGTGAAAGCTAAAAGATGCCAGGAATCAGGAGTCAAATAAACTATGCAACCCCACTGAAAGTGCTGCATGAGACACCCTGATGTAGTTCTGTGATCTGTGATATACTGCTGTGAATCACTAAAGCACTGTGTGTTTGTGTGTTCTTTGTCCTCAGAATTTTCAAATAACTTGAGATGTTTTATGATCAATAGCTATGTTGTGCCTGTACTATTTTGAACATACTGTCCACGGGCTCTAGATTTATTTTTATGTTGATCGTATTAAAACAAAGAAAACAATCTGAAGTTGTTGTTTTTAAGTTATATATACAATGATTTTACCAGTCCGGCCCACTTGAGAATAGACTTTTCTCCATGTGGCCCCTGAACTAAAATGAATTTGACACCCCTGGTCGAGCACAATAGTGATGGGATTTCCGGCTCTTTTTAGAGAACCGGCTCTTTCGGCTCCGAACCGGCTCTTCAGGTTGTTTTGTTGCTTTAATTAATTTATTATTAACAAAAATATAAAATTATGCACAAAAGGAATTACTAATGCAAAAAAAAAGTGGTTTAATTTATATATGTCTATATATAAATATTTACGGTGGCCCCTAGAGACAAAACAAGTACAAACTCCAAAACACATTTCTAGCCTGAACTGAACTTCCAAAACAGAGCTACCTAGATCAGCGGTCCCCAACCCCCAGGCCTCGGACCGGTACCGATCCGTGAGTCGTTTGGTACTGGGCCGCAAGAGTTGAGGCTCAGGTGTGAAATGTATGGTTTTCAGGGCTTTTCATCGGTTTTCAGCGTCATTTTGTTATCGTTTTTATCCTTAACTCTGTTTTCCTGGGTCTTTTCATGTGTGTTATGAATAAATCTTCTTTTTTTCGGTACCGGTACTAGTTTTATTTTGTTGTATTTATTCGCGACACCTTAAAGGCCGGTCTGTGAAAATATTGTCGGGCATAAACCGGTTCATCGCGCAAAAAAGGTTGGGGACCGCTGACCTAGATCACTTAAATTACACAATTGAAAGCATATGTGTGTTGTTTGTGTATTTATACACAGGCACTCGTATATATTCAAATAATTTAAAAAAAAAAGTTAATTTACCTGTTACGACACACCAAATCCGGTCGTTGGTACTTCCTGGCTTGTGTAGGCACTACGTAACAAAAGCTCAACACTGCGCCCAGCATCCTGGAGCACTTCTGTTGTCTTTTGTACGTGTTTTGGAGTTTTTACGTGCTTCTGAGTTTTTACGTGTTTTGAAATTTGTACGTGCTTTGTCTGTAGGGGCCATCGTAAATATACTTCTATTTATTCACTCCACATAAAATAATAAATAAATTATATAATAAAAAAAACAACTATTCACATTTCAACTTTTAACTATTTAAATTTTCAGCTTTTTCCTTTTAAACAAATTTAAAGTGAAACAACACAAAACACTGCAAATCACAACACAATTAAATATAAATTAAAATATGAAAACAAAAAGAACATGCACATTCTCTGTCATATGGGTCTGCATGAATAAACTTTCTGAATCCTTTATAATCCACAACTGATAATAGTTGTGGATGATTACTATACCTTTCTAATGTGACGTTGTTGTCCCTGCCTCTCTCTCTCCCTCCCGCTCTGTTCCTGTGCTACTGCCAGTGTAACTACCGCCCCTCCCCCCTCTTCCCAGCGCAATGGCATGCAGAGTGAAGCGGAAAAAACGTGCGACAGAGAGGGTGAGCGAAAGAAAAAAAAACAAACCACAGCTCGCGATAAGGAGCCGGCTCACGTCATTCACGGCTCTAAGAGCCGTTTCGTTTGCGACCGACACATCACTATAGCACAACACCTGGAGCTAAGGGGGCAAAACAATCACATGAGTGCTGCTGTTTGACTGAGGAAGAATAAAGTAGTCGTGGTAAACCAATCACATGACCACTTAAAGACAAAGACACAAAGCAATATATACCAGTTTATAAATATTGTTTTTTGTCTGATTTTAGATCAATTGTGTTAATACAGTATGTCAAAATGAAAACATAACTGTAAATTCAGACACGTGAGGATGTGCTGAAAAGACTGATACCAAACAAGGCAAAGTAAATCGTTTTTAAAGGTGAAATGTGGAGGGAAAATCAAAAGTAGTTAAAAATGGCCGATTATACCCTGGACCCCAGAGGGTTAAACGTTATTTTTAAAGTAACGCAATAGTTACTTTTCAAGTAATTAATGACTTTTAGAATACTGTAACTCAGTTACTAACTCAGTTACTTTTTTGAAGAAGTAACTAGTAACTATAATTAATTACTTTTTCAAAGTAACTTGCCAAACACTGGTGGTCATTCAGTGGGTTTTTCAGGGGGTCAGAGGGCAAGAGGGGTGAGGGGTGGATTCCTATTCATTTTCTCTGGCAGTCACTTTTGACCGGGAACGCCACAGATGTAACAAAGCTGATTAAAACACTCAAAATTCAACGAAAGCGGTGCTCATCGCTTTTATATGTTCAAGTGCATAGTGTGGAGGATGTTGTAAGGCCTTGAGGCAACCAGATGTAAAACACAATATTTATCAGTCTTTAGTTTGTAAATCAATCAGATTTGACCTGAACACGACAATAAAACAAATACAAATGCAACAGACTGTGACAGCATCATTGTCACTGCCGCTTTATATAAATAAGACTTTATTTACAGATGTGTGCCTAAATAGGTTTCTATCCTTAGTTGTCAGTTGGCGACAACTGAGTACTACGTAGTCATGGAACAAATGACACGTCAATGTTTTTATAATGTGAGGTTAGCGTGTGTGACCTGAGTAAAAATCAATCAAATATTACGGGAGTGGCTTCGGTACCAGGACGGTCCTGCCTATACCAGGTTTAGTACCAATCGGACTGACTGTAATTTTGACCCATAAAGTGCCCATTCCAGAAACACAGATACAGTTTGTAATTCTGCGTCTGTACAGCACCACAGTGCATTTTAAATAAATCAGTCGAGGTGTGATTGAAGCACAAACTTTCAGCTTTAACTTAAGTTGAAGTGGGTACTTCAATCATATCAGGTTTCTCAGATTTAGAGTCTGCCGTGGTTGTGTGCACAGGCCAAATTGGAAAAATTTAATATGGTGTTTAGCGCCGCTGCAACATTATCATTATTAATACTGTGTGAGTTGCCCTGCATATGACAAATTGTCTCAGGGTGTTTAATCCACTGAAACACAAACAGCATTGTTCTAATAATGTATATCCTACTACAGTAAACCTTTTTGGAAAAAGAATTATGAGGTGAATAAAACCTCAGCATGTATCAAAATGTGCAGAGTAATTGAATGGGGACAGTGTAAACATCTTAATCCCTCCCTGCACTTTTGTAAAATTTACATTCTTCATTGTGGACCAGTAAGCTAACAGCGGACATAAAGATCATATTGAATCATTAAAATGATTGAAATAGAAAAACTCTTCATCGCACTGTAGTAAGAAGCAGGTGTTTAACATCCACTTTGTGCTTGAATTTGATAAGATTTCCATACGTCCAAAAGCTGGTTAGAGCTGTGCAGCAATGTTGTTATGACAGAAGTCCAGTAACAGTTGCCCGTGTCTGATGGCTTCCAAATCATAAAGATATCATTACGAGGAGGATCTGTCAGTGGAATACCCAGATGTTTCATGCACAGTCCCACATACACATCTTCAATGTAAAGAGCTCTGACATGCTGAGCAGCCTCCAGTATCTTCCTGGTTAAATCCAGAGAGAACACATAGCCCAGTCCAATGGCGTAAGTTGGATAGACTGACTCGGGGAAGGTGGAAAACGGCAAAAACCATTTAGAGTTTTGGTCTCGAAGAACAGGAGCAAACCTTACCACGTTTCCTGTCAAGTACAGATGTTGAGGGGCCTTTAAAAGCATCCCGACAAGGTTGTGCACATTGAGGAACGTGTCGCTATCAATCTTCATGGCATAGGAGGTCTGGGGGCAATGGGTGCTGAGCCATTCAAACATAAGCATTGTTTTGATGGTGAGGTTATGGTAGCTGTCCAAGAAGTCACTCTGGAGAATGTCACGATGGTCCCGGCTTTCACGTAACAGCTGAGAAAGTGAAATTGAAAGCATCATTTAATAAATTAATAATTAGTAATGATTCTTCAGTTAACTCACTCACTGATACAGCAAACATGATACATGTTTGGTAGAGTGGTCTGAAAAGACTAAATCAGATCAAGCCACATCGAAATCTTATAAGTAAAGGAAGTTGTGTTTGTACTGGATTTTCTTTGGCTGCTTGGAATCTGATCCTTCTTTCCTTCCTCTGCGCCGACTCTCTTGTGACTTTTCTAAATCATCTGGTGTAGCTCATTCACCCTGTACTATGTATTCCTGATAATAACAAGAAGGGAAATGTGTGGAAAGTTTACTACAATGGACTGAAGCCACTCACTTGTTCTTCAATGGTCTCTGCTCCATTTTCCTCTCTGGACTGTCCCAGTATGAAGTAGTGGCTGACCACTTTGCCCTGCACCGTTGTTACATTCCCCCACGTGCTGCGGATCATGTGACGAGCCTCTCTGTTGTGGGGTGCAACCGGGATCATTAGAACCAGGAATGGGCTTTCCTCCCGACATCTGTTCAGTTCATCCAATATGAAATGGTACTCGTGTGGGTACGCCACAGTGTACTGCAAGGAATAATGAGACTGAGATCTGTGCAAGCAGAGAAGGCTGGTGATTTTTGTGCATTGTACTTGATAATACTAGATTCATATTTTCTATTTGAATTTTGCATCTTTTCTAAAATGAGCTTCAGAATGAGAGATAAAATATGTATGTTTTTAAAAAAGAAAGAAAAAAATTCAAGTTAATCTTCTCTTGTCCAGATCTGACTTGGCTGTTTGTGCCGTCTGTGAAAACTAGTATAGCAAATGTACATAACACAGTCAGCGTTATTTAAGTTTTCTTTATTAGATGGGAGGAGCTGTTAAAATAGGTCATGTAAAGCAGGAAATCAAACCAAACCAGGGCCACAAACCAATACTGACAAAACCCACTCTATGTTGAAAATGCAGAAATCAAGTCTCTGATGTTACAGCTGAATAAAATGACAACCCTTCATTACAAACTTCCCATATTTCTTCTCTGTTCTCTTGTTCAGCTTCAATTTTGTCACCTCAGTTCTTCTGAAGTGACGAGGAAACTAAGAAGTTGTGACTGAGGCGAGGCCGACCTCAGCATAGAGCTTGTACTTCTCAAACTCTAGTACAGGATCCTTTCCTAGCAGACAGATGCTCTTCCATCTTCCATGCTATAAATTTTGTTTGACCACCCCATTTCAGAAAATTAGAGAACCCTGAGCTGCCACTAATAAAACATATACTATGTGTTTAATTAGCTAAAAGAAATCGTTGATACGTCACAGTCATAATAATTATGAACATGTATTTCTTCAAATATTTTAAATATAAATGGATAAAATGAGATGAAGAACATCACAGTAACACGACTACATCATGATGACTTTAACTTAACTAGTTAACTAGTTTCAGTTCAGAAAAACATCGAACAACCAACTGATCACTTTTGTGACTAATTTGTAGAGATAATATTGTTAGTGTTGCCTTTGCACAGATTATATGGAGGCCAGTGAATATACTTACCTCGTCAACTAGAGGAGGTACACTGTCGTGAGAGGTACTTGAGTTTGGGGTGGATGTCCTTGGGTTTAAAGACCATGATTCTTGGAAAACGGAGCTGTAGATCACTAAAGTCCCGACCATGATCAAAGCCGCCACATACCACAAGCATCTTCTAAATTTTATCCACGGAGTCCTTTCACTGCAAAGAAGTTAAAGTGATTAGTATTTATCAGCACTGCAGAAGCACTTAAGAGTATCCAGGGCAGTTCATTTGTTCTGCATTTTGTCATGTTACAGCTGATTCCAAAATGAATTACATTCATTTATGTTTTTGATTTTTTAATAAATTTGCATGTACTTGGGGTACTGTGTGTACAATTTTGAGGTGAAACATGATTTCCATCCATTTTGGAATAAGGCTGACACAATGTGGAACAAGTGAAGGGCTGCGGTGAAGCTCACTGTTGCTGGGCTGAAATGAGAAAGCACTTTGACTTTTGCTTTCACATCAGACACATGCCACCACTCTAAGAGTCACTCTAAGAGAGTGCGCTTTATTGTGGACTTAACACAAGTTAACTAAGAATTTCTGCTAAACTCTATCAAATTCTACAAATTACAATAATTGAACTGAATTGAGAAAAAAGCTTAAACATACCTTAAGTTTTTTTTTCAGGTTATTTAACAGAGTGTGTGGTACTTAAAAAAAACCTCACTTCCTGTTCTCAAGTCAGGGCTCTAACACATAGAAATATGCATATACATGTTTATCTATTCCCAATATTGTTACAACGACACAATTGTACACAATTCACATGTGACCCAACCATCACCACACAGCTGACAACAAGCCACATAAACTAATTACACTATTTTGTTTTTTACTTGAATTTTATAGTTTCAGATTTAGAGATAAAATATTGATATATATATATTGTTAGGGATTTTTTTAAAAAAAAAAATAAAGAAACAAACAAAAAAACAACAAAAAAAGAAAAGTTAATCCTTTCTCATGCAGATTTGACTTGGGTATTTATGCAGTATGTGAAAATCGGTATACCAAATGTACATAATGCATAGTCATTTCACTTAATTAGGACCTGTAAAGGAAGAACCAAAACCAGACGCAACAATAAATACTGACAAAACAGAGGTTTCTACATTGCTAAAGGCAGAACAGAAAAGAAACCCAACTTCTTAAGGCAGGAACCAAAACTTTCTCTGATGTTATAGCCTATAAAACGGCAACCCCAGAATCATAACTCCATCTTCATTCTCACAATTACTTTTTGTCAGCAGATTAGACATGTGACCAACCCATCTCCAGACTGCTGACAACAAGCCACCTAAATAATATCTGGTCGTAAACTAACATTAATGCAGCTAATTTCAGTATCGAATGTCCTAAAAATGAGACTTCCCCTTCGACAAACATTTTAATTGTATTCTCATTTCATGAGAGTTTATTCACAAAGTGTCCAAGTCAGTTTAACAGACTCATTGACTTTGATGTCGTTTTACATCCTCCTCTAGAGTAGATAGACTTGGACACCCTGCATATTGACAGCTGAGGTAAACAGGTGATTGACAGCCTACACTCACAACAGGTCATAGGGCGATTTTGAGGTAAAAATATCAAAATATTGTTTAACTGACACATATCCTGCTTTTACTCCTGATTTATTTCCAAATGTTGATATCATTCAAATATGTTTAAATTTAGACGGCACCCCATAACAGTCAACGTGTATAAAGACAGTGTGTCTTGCAAACATCACATTTTATTTGTTTGATATCTGTTGGCTGACTAAACTGTGTTTCTCTTACAGTGGTCACCAAAGCTAAGATTATGCAATGCAGTTGGGAAGGCTAAGAAAACAGATCTGACTGCAATCTGTAATCCACTGACATCTGACAGTGAGATTTTACACACTGTAGCTTCAAGCACAATCAAATTGTGTCTAGATTCAGATGAATTTCTTTTGTGCAAATTAAGAAATATTGTAATTACATTAAAAAAAACAAAAAACTGTCTTATTTATTGGGACATCAATTTTAGGATGCTTCCTTTAATTGCATGATATAACTAAAAGTTATCCTTTAAGCACTGAGTGAAGTCCTTGTCATTTGTTAGTCTTTTCTGCGTATGGCAGTCAGATAACCGCAACACTTGCAACTTCCTTGTAGACTTGTGTTTTGTGACCACAACTATTTTAAAGTTTCCTGTTTGTAATGTAGAACCAGATGATACATCAACATATTTTCATTTGAAAGTTATCTATACATTTCTGAATATAATTCTTTAAAGTTATATGAAGCCCCAGTGTGTCTCAAGAATAACTTATATTTTGTTTGCAAGAAGTCATCAACAGCAGCTCAAACAGTCTTATGAGTCTTAGGCTATAAAATCTTGATAACTACCAGGTTTACTGTACTATTTAGGGTATGGGGAACATCAACAAGCTTGCAATAGCAGAGTTACAACAACCAAAAGTTGAGGAAGTTACTATAAGTGCACAAAATATATAGGTATGTGCCACCTGCTAATGTCCCTAAAGGCATTTATTCAGTAGTTAATCAGCAGAATGAAAGCAATATAAAAAGACTAATGTGACACCCTGACTACTGCTCACATTTAGCTCTGAAGTGGATAGAAACAAAAAGTCATCTGCAGATGTATTTTGGACTTTTCAGGCTAGTCATTTTTAGTTTATAACTGAAACTAAGGTTATGTGGTTTAGCAGTGTCTCACTGTCACACCTCATTGCTGACAAGTACTGGACGAGTACATATTTATGAAAACAAGAATTCATTCCTACATAGAACCACTGCTCAGTTAAAGAAAACGTATTTGCTAAAATCCAGAAAAGGTTAACAACTGTATATCGTTTATCATCTTTATCACTTATGTCTTTTCATATAACTAGCAACAAAAACAAACAAGTACACAGCAACAGACAATACAGCATTTCCGTTACATGTCGTGTGGCTCCTTCAAATGAGAAATTATAACAGCTAAACACAATTTGAAGGGATCGTTTGTAAAGGCGTTCTAGCCTTTTCATTCGAATCATTAATCTGTATTTTATAAAGACAACCAGAGACATGGTACAGTGTTCTTTTACAATATTTGGTTTACAGTGTTTGTATTACAGTCTTTGGACAGCTTGTGCATGACAAAATTAACTGGGGAGCAAATGTTTAAAAACATGTTTAAATATATCACTTACAAAACAGGTAAAAAACATATTTAATATTTTTTTTATAAAAATAAAAAAGGTAACAAAATGAAAAAAAGACAAATTCGATAAATGTTAAAAGTAAATAAACATAATGCAGTAGTTTTAAATAACATTATTACTAGAATATTATTATAAAAAGAGTTTCAAGGCATTGAAGCAACAGCAGCTACAGAATGACTTTTGCCTTTGCTGCTGTTTGCTATCAAAGCCTCAGCAAAGATTACAGTCAGTAATTAAAAATGATATATTTATACATTGCTACTCAAGATGTAATAAGTCTAACTAATCCATGTCATAGCTGGACATAATTTCCTATAAGTAAAACATTTTCCATTTTAGGACCACAGTGTGCCTACAGTCTGTTTCACATTTTATGTCAATATATTTGAAGTAAAACAAAGAATTAGACTTACCCTTTGGAAATGGGGAGCTCTGACATTTTCGGGAGGTGAAGAATGGATTATTTGATCAACTTCAGTAACTTATGTAAATGCAGAAGTTGGCAAATGAGCTCTTCGTGTTGATCTGCCTGTGTGGTTTGTGTTGCACAAATGGGTCATGACACGCTGTGAGCACCCTTAGACAGTTTCTGCTCTGATGTCATGTCCTGACAACTCTTGATTATCTGTGGATATGCTTTTAGTGTTTGTGCGTGTTTAGGCACAACATGACTTAACATGCTGTGCATTCCTACCAGTTTGAGTACATATTGCCCCACTGCAAAAGCAAAACAAATGAGATCTCATATTTTTAAATAGGTTTCTCAAGCAAATGAAAGTTGATTTAAAAACAAAAATTATTCACAGGGACAGTGCCAGTCTACTTTAAACATACAATAGTAAGACAGATCCTTCAAAGCTCTGACTAATCTCTACCCTTCAATTTCTATCTAAAGGACTGGAGAAAGTGGTTTTCAGCATAGAAGTGTCATGATTGTTTGTATGAAACTGTTAGGCAAAACTAAATGCTAGACACTAAACACTAGGAGCATGGAACTCGAAAGCCGAAACATGAAACCTGAAACATCAGGCGGGAGAAGAACTGGTTAAAAAAGCTGCAGCACCCCTGTTAACAACAGAGGAACCAACAGCTCCTCCCCCATTGCATTTATTTCTCAGTTGACACAGCCACACACACGCCATCTGCTCGGTCAAGCCAACATTTTCACCTCCCCCGTCCATTTTTTTAGATGTCAAACAGAAAAATCAGAGACAGAGGCAGGTCAGGACAAAGCAAGGATAGCGGTGGAAACTGATACAACTGCAGCAGGGTTGCACACTGAGCGTGAGACTGCACTGAAAGGAAAAAAAAAACCCAATAAAAACAAGGTGGTGTGTTTGCAGTTGTGCGCCATAAACCTCCTCAGGCAGGACTAAATGGCAAAATTGCAAATTGCTCCTGTACCTACAGAGACAGGAATGCATGCACCATGTATTATAAAACTCACTGGGGCCTGACACAATGTATGAAAGGCAAATTTTGACAAAAAAATCCACAACATTGCTGCTCAAACATTTTTATTGGGTTGAAACAGGTCATGTGGTCTCAACCTACAAACTTGGCGAACCTGATAAACCATTTTACAAAGGACTGGTCACCCCACATATTTCAGTGGCTAAACCACACACAGGGAAATGGGGGCCTTTGGGCAATTTGCAGTTAAGTGTGACAAAGACTGGGAGCCATTCCCAGGCTGCACTGGTATACAGTGTTTACCATTGCTGGGGTCATATGTGTCTTTGCTAAACTGTACAACCCTAGCAACAACGGGGCAAAACCAAAACTGACAACCTTTTAAAGTTACGCTAACCGGGGCAGAGGGTACTTGCTGAAATCCCAGAAATCCTCAGTAAATAAGGCGGTTCTTCCCTGAGCGTGTGTCAAACCAACACACCTTTATAAATGATTTGTCACCAAAAGTATTTTTCTGTAAATCTCTGTTATCTAACCCTGATAACAGTTCTGTTGCTCGCAATAAATCAATTTATGAAATAAAACATACTGAGAAAATATTGCTATGTTTATTGGAATAAGCACACAGGTTTCCAGCTACTTCGGGCTCAGCTAGCTTTGGTTTTGCTCACTGCCCTAAAAATCGTTCGGTTAATTAAGTTCTCTAGGAGCTTGTGCCATCAGGTTTATTCTACACACTGTCAAGCAAAACTAGAAGCTAGTATAGAAGAAATTCCCCTCTCGCCCCTGGGAGCGGTCTTTAAGTTCAGATCCTCTTGTGACAACAATACTTTCAGAGGAAAACACACTGAGATGGATAACAACAAAATAATATCTATAAAATAACATCCGCACTCTTGGTCTTTATCCTTCAAATTCAGGTCCTCTACCAGAGGCCTGGGAGCTCTGGTAGATGGTCCTGCGCAATATATTTGCTGTTCCTAGGACTGCACTCTTCTGGACAGAGATCTCGAGTGTTATTCCTGGGATCTGCTGGAGCCACTCGCCTAGCTTGGGGGTCACTGCACCGAGGGCTCCGATTACCACTGGGACCACCGTTACCTTCACCCTCCACATCTTCTCGAGCTCTTCTCTGAGCCCTTGGTACTTCTCTAGCTTCCCGTGTTCCTTCTTTCTGATATTGCTGTCTATTTCTGTCATTCAGTATCGCTACATCTCTCACCACAACCGTCTTCCTCTGCTTGTCCACCACTACAATGTCTGGCTGGTTAGCCATCATCAGTTTGTCCGTCTGTATATGGAAGTCCCACAGTCCCACATTGAAAAACCCAGACAGATAAGAGATAAGCTTGATGTATTAGCAGAAAAATAAAGCATTTTGTAAACTACAATGTGGTAGTGTAGCATAAACAGGAGGGAAATTATAGAAAGGATCAATAAACACATTCTGAAATGTAAGCTATTCAGCACTTTTCAGTAATCTGAAGAAATCTCTCTCTCGCTCTAACCTGTCCTCATCTGTCCTCAGACCTTGTGGCTCCTCTGCTATCCCATATGGAAAAGAAATAGAAAAAACTTATAAAAGACTTGCATCAGATGTGGCCTACTTCATATAGTGAATCATATAAGGCTCATATGATTTACTCATGGAAGTGGCCACTTTCATATATTGTTTTAGTATCCAAAACATACAAGTTTCATTTATATAATTTTTCTAGGGATCTTATATCTGTTTTCACTCTTGTATGCTTTTCACACAAGACAGATACAAACTTTATATCTTTATATAAGATTTATATAAGATTTATATATATCTTTTCCATATGGGATCAGTTATCCAAAGCATAGAAGTGATAAAAAGAAAGATGATCTTTCAGTCTTGATGATTGCAGCACCCAGCAGCACAGCATAGGTGTTGTGGGGGAAAAAAGCAGTGATCATTTCGATGTAAACTATGTATCATTTATTGGATGTGACTGTTACTGATTATCTTGTTCAATATAGCGAACGGCTCTTGAGGGATTTGCACATGGCGTCACATGCAAAATCTTAACTGACTGTCAGACACTCAGACTGAGTGTCTTTTTATTTATTTATTTATTTTTTACTGCAAATGAGTTAAAGTGTTATTGATCTTCTAAATAGCACTTAGCTGTCCACTGCTGGATCAACTGAGAAACATTTTGCCTCTTCCTATCTCAGGATAATGTGGGCGTACTTGCAATAATGGAGTCATAAGATTACCAAGAAAATAAGCTTCTGTTAGGAATGCTACCACAAACTGAATAAGTATTACTGTAATGAGACAGAATATGTAGCCTTATTCAATAAAGTGAAACCCAAACTACTCTTCACATGTAACCCAGAATGGAAACGGATACATATTATTTGTACCCTTAGGTCCATAAGTTGTTGTCACTTAATGTCAGATACTTACACAGTATTACATACATTTACATACAAACATTACATTAAAATACATTTAAAAGAAATGTTATTACACAAATAGTTCACAACAAGAAAAAAAAACATGAAGTAGATCTATTTGAAGTCAAAAATAAAGGCACATAAGTCAGTAGTTTTACTAATATTATTACTTTGTTGTAAAATGAAGGGTTTGTAGGCATCATAGCATATCCGAGTAAATATTACGGTCACTATATAAGGGGGTATTATATTTGTGCACTGCTACTCAACCCATTAACTGGCTGTAATATGCCCTGCTATGGAGTGAATCATCCAGACAAGCTTTCCATTTAAAAACCACAGTGAGCCTTCAGCCTGTGCTATACTTTCACATTAGCATGTTTGAAATTAAAGGAAAAATTAGACCTACCCTTTGGAAACTGTGTTCTCCGGCATTTTCAGCAGGTGAAGAATGATTTCTGGTATAAGCTTTAGTACAAGACAAGATCGGAATAATTTCTTTTTATTCTGTAGCAATGCGCTTGTAGAGGCTCAGACCAGACATACTTCCTCATTGAGACCAGAGGCTCAGACCAGCCACAGACCACTGTGAAGAAATATCAGTGGCATTGTAATGAGCTGTAAAGATCAACTTTACCAGATATGTCTGGATACGAGCTGGAGCATTTCTTTTTACATAGATTTACAGACACCTTGTCTTTTTTTAAATTTTGACTCATTGCTATCTAAAGCAAATATGGAAGATACATCGTGAAGAAAAATACAACAATAATAAAACCTTTAAAACTGCTTCATAAACAGTCACAAATAAAAGCTCTTAATTAAATAAACAGTGGGATCGATGGAATACCTACCTCCCAACCCTACGACTTTTTTTTGTTCTGCAATTGCTGAATTGATGTAAGTTCAATCAGATAAATCCAAGGAAGGAAATCCCAGAAAGCTGATTCTGTTCATCTGGCTGTTGCATTTCAGTAGTAGTGACTTCTTCTGTTTTCTGGTGAGACGGAACAAATGAACAGAATCATCTTTCTGTGAGTTGAGCAGTGTTTCACAATAAGAGTTTGTCCCACTGATTAGACTCGACGAGACTTTTAATGTGAAAAAACTTTATTGCAAACAAAAGAAAAAGCTAGCTAGCTCATAAGATTAAGTGCACCCCCCACCCCCCATTTAAATCAACAATTAAACTAAAAGATTAAAAAAACTCATAGTGCTTCACCATAGAATCCATATTTAGCTATACTTTCATGCAGCACTGTATTCTATGCACATACAATTGGCTCGTGGTCATGACTGATTTAGAACAACATTTTAATCTAACGTGCCATTCTGTGCATCTGGGGAGGAAGCTGAATACCTGAAGAAAGCCGCACAGGCACAACGATTAGTGTAAAGTACACACAGAAAGGCCACAGCTGGGTTTCAGCTTCAGTACATGAAAGGAACTAATGCGTGAGAAAAACTGATGCTCACATTTCTATTAATTAGAAGCTGATAGCAGCTTCAAGTTTTAGACTGTAATTCTTTTTAAGTACGAGTATGAAGGAGGGTCACATATTTAATACTGCCTGGGATTTTAGCGGCATTATTAAAAGAGAATTGTCATGCTTTCTAATTCTGCAATCACACTGTCCGTTACAGTTTCAGTGATGTGTGCAGTCATGATAAAAAAAAGTGCAACCTCTTTCAGTTCTAAGTTTTTATGTATCAGGACAAATAAATAGTAATGTCGTCTGTTTCTTGGCAGTTACTAAAAACGGAACCTTAGCTGAACAACAACACAGAGTTTATACGCTGTGTCATTTATCAGACAGAAATGAAGCCAAAATTCAGAAGCAGTTTTACTGATATGCTAAAGCGTGGCCAAAAAGCATTTCATTTAACAGTGATGATAATGTCTGAGGTTGTCTGCCATGTGGGATGCTTGAGAAATAGATTTGTAACTCAGTCAGCTTGAAAAATAAGGAAGTATGTAAATTTGTCAGACAAGTTCTTGCTTATACTAAATAAAGCTGACACATTACTGCTCTTATGTACATTGAATTCCAGCAGTTCACGGTGCTGATTTCTAACTTACATAAGTAAGTTAGCTTTAGGTAGAAATTAAGAATATATACTTTTTACTAGCTTCGTTTGCTAGCATTTGCTAGCTTTTACTGTTGGTTACTACATGGAGAAAATAAAAGCTTAGTTATTGTCAGAGTGAAAGCAGGTGAATAACAACAAAGGAAACAATGGAATGTCACCAGTATGAAGAACAGTGCACCAAATTGTGCAGAGTCTGCTGAAAAAAGTAGCCACTTGTGTGTGAGTGTGCACTGTAGCCCACTTCAAACTTGAATCAAATTCGAATGCTCACCTAGATCAATGTTTTGAGTCTGGCTTGACAGTAAAGACTAGCTATCCTTACAGATACTCAGAGAGAGCTGTGAAACATATTGTTTGTGCCATTTTGAGTGAAAAGTCAATACATTTGAATCCTGTTTACAAGAGGTAAACTCCATGCATATAACTCCTCTGCACTCCAGCCGAAACTGTAAATAAAGTATCTAAATAAAGTAAAGTATGATAAATAAAGTATCATATTTGAAACTAAGGTTTGAATCCTGACTTAAATCTGACTTCTGAAACAATTTCTGTGTTGAACTTTATTGCTGTTGATAATAAATAATAACTGTGACTTCTTACTGTTAGCTGTCATGTCAAACAAGGTAGTATTTTTATTGTCTTTGTCTCTTAATATTGCATTTTATTTTGTTTGCATTGTTCCAGATGTGACAGGAATGTGCATCATTGTTCTGGGAGGCCTCCTTGTTCTTCGGAGTGATGACCTCCATAATGTCTCCAACACTGGTACGTTTTTACTGTTGCATTTCAAAGGGGAACAGAGTTGTGGTGAAATTTCCTTTTGATTTGCGGGTTTTATTCACTTCCAATTATGATACCTCTTAGCCCCCAAGTGATTATATGTATGCTAGACAACTTCAGGGCATGCTCCTAATGAGATGAAGGATGGTGTCCTGGGGGATTTCCTACCAGATCTGAAACAGTGCATCACTGAGCTTCTGGACAGTCTGAGGTGCAACCTGGTCGCACTGATGGAGCAAAACATAGCACCTCAGAGGTGTTGAAAATTGATCTTTCAGGCAAGAGGAACAGAGGAAGACCACAGAGAAGGTTCATGTTCATGTAGCGAAGGGGAATATGCTGGAGGTGGGTGTGATAGAGGCAGTGATGACCTCTAAAGGGAAGAGCCAACTTGGCAGACTAAAATTGTTTTGTAGTATTTGGGCTTTATCTAATGATCTAATGATGTTACCAGAAAATGTCATGTGGAACTGTCATACTGATCTCACTGTGACTGCTACTGGTTTCAGTTGCATTTTGAGATGAGTAGTGTCAGCTGTTTGGAGAGAAACTGTACTTTGAACTGTGCTTTTACCTTTATTTTTATTTTTGCAGAAACTTGAGTGCAAGTAAACTACATAAAACAAAATGCTCTGTTATTACAACATCCGTTAGCATGCACTAGATTAATGTTACTGACTAAGGTCGATTGATTTTAACATAATTTTTAACAGCATCACATACTTTGTTTTTGGGTTTTTTTAAGTTGTTGT